GGGGGGGGGGGGGGGGGGGGGGGGGGGGGGGGGGGGGCGGGGGGGGGGGGGGGGGGGGGGGGGGGGGGGGGGGGGGGGGGGGGGTCTATGTACATCGGATACATATACCCAGGTCTACCGCACGTTATGTGTTGTTGTCGCGCTGGCGCGTACACACGCCGCGATGTCTCACCAATTGCGTCAGTAGAATCCTTAAAATTACTTTTCATTTTGCATTCATTCTGGAATCTAGACGTTCGATTTGCATATCACGAATTATTAATTTCACGGGTTTTTTCGAATGTTGGGGGGGGTGATTTCAGGGTGAGTATCAAAACGCCAGGAGAAATGGGGAGTTGTAGGGGCAAATCTGAAGGAATATTTTTTTATAATTGGAATATTAAAAGATGGAAAGACAAATTTTCAAAATTGTTTATAATTTATTCATTCTTATTGTAATTATATGAATATATATATATTTTTTCCCTTAATTCTCGAGTTACAACAGTGAATGAAGAGGAATTCTGTTGAAGATCAATCAAAATTAGTTTTTTGTGATCAAAACAAACAATTAAAAAAAATTAAACAATCGATTTTTTTTCGAATAATGAAAGAATACCCATAAATTCTATTTCCTTGTCTTCCTTGTCTTTTGATAGAATGGATAGACTAAATGACAGAAATTGAGAATTGGAGACTAAAAATTAGATTATTATTATGTAATTTTTATTATTAACTTTCCGATTCTAAGGGAGAGAGTTACTGTAATTACCCCGAAAATAAAAAGTGGAATTTTCATAATTTGTGGACGTTCCATGACCCCTAGAATCGTCACTCCATCATTAATTTTTCGTCAAATCTAATATTCTTTCTCATCAATCGAAATTTTTCAATTTTACATTTCTTGCCCGAAGTGTCCCAAGATCTCTCCAATAATGATTAATGCCCGATTATTTGCCCTGAACCATACATCATCGAGACCTTCTGTGCGCCTTCGATCCATTCCCCGGTCTTTTGTGCCCAAAACAGACTGTTTACAATGGTAAATGGACTGAATTACCTGAATTTGAATACAAAGACGAAAATCGAATGAACGATATGACGAACATATGAACCCAATACTCGGTATAATGACACACCTGACGAATTCATTGAAAGAAATTCTCAAAAAAGTACAAAATCATGAGTAATCATAATTTCTCGTGAATATTAAATGAGTACCAGGAATCCTACTAACGCAAGTGACGAAAATGTGTTCAATAAAAAATGTATTTCGAGCTGTTTCATATGTATCCAAATGGGAATTGCTAAATATAAAGACGGCATTAGCATTGGGAGACAATGTGAGTATGTCCTAGACGATTTCCGTGTATTTAACAAAGGACTGTGAGAATGGATTTTAACGAATTTGTTTATAAATGTTTGACAACGGCCGAGGGATAAAGACAGTATTCCGCGAATGCTGTTCATCAAATTTATCCCATGACGCGTGGAGCAAGCACTTATCACGAAAACGGAGACATGTTTACGGCAATTGTTCTTAAACAAAATTTTACAATTCCAAAAAAAAGGCTTTTTCTCAAGGAAATAGTTCGAAGAGATTCTGGAGACCTTGAAACGTGAAGATGGATGATAGTTTTCAGGGTGAAACGGCCCTTAAGAACCCCTAGGGTTGACTGTCAAATGGTCTTAATAATTGACCAGATCAGAGCAGAGTGATTAGAAAGGATCATTTGGCCCTTGATCCTGTATAAGGGCCCAAGGGTCGCTTACCCCTTGAGACAATTTAACCCCCTGGAGACCTTGAAATGTGAAGATATGATCAACAATGTCAAAAATCATTATTTAGTACCATTCAGGAGGGTTTGTTTTATTTTTAGTTGAGGGTCAAACGACCCTTTAGAACGTTTAGGGTCAAGGGTCGACAGGTCGGAGCAGAATGATCAGAAAGGGTCGTTTGACCCTTGACCCTGCACAAGGGCCCAAGGGTCGCTTGCCCCTTGAGACAATTTAACCCCCTGGAGACCTTGGAAACGTCAAAAATAATTATTTAGTACCATTCAAGAGACTTTATTTTGTTTTTATTGAGGGTCAAACGACCCTTTAGATCGTTTAGGGTCAAGGGTCGACAGGTCGGAGCAGAATGATCAGAAAGGGTCGTTTGACCCTTGACCCTGCACAAGGGCCCAAGGGTCGCTTGCCCCTTGAGACAATTTAACCCCCTGGAGACCTTGGAAACGTCAAAAATAATTATTTAGTACCATTCAAGAGACTTTATTTTGTTTTTATTGAGGGTCAAACGACCCTTTAGATCGTTTAGGGTCAAGGGTCGAATGGTCAGAGCAGAGTGATCAGAAAGGGTCGTTTGACCCTTGACCCTGCACAAGGGCCCAAGGGTCGCTTGCCCCTTGAGACAATTTAACTCCCTGGAGACCTTGGAAACGTCAAAAAATAATTATTTAGTACCATTCAAGAGACTTTGTTTTGTTTTTGTTGAGGGTCAAACGACCCTTTAGAACGTTCAGGGTCAAGGGTCGAATGGTCCGAGCAGAGTGATCAGAAAGGGCCGTTTGACCCTTACACCTTCGGGTATCATCAAGGATCATTCCAGATTTGACAAATTTATGACTCTATTCCGCGAATGCTGTTCATCAAATCTATCCAACGCCAAGCAAGCATTCATCACGAAACCGGAGACACGTTAACAGCAATTCTTCTCAACCCAAATTTATCAATTCCAAAGAACTGCCAATGGTTTGTTTGTTCTTGATACTGAATAAACCACCGTAACTCACCGTTTTCGAGGACAAACAGGCGTCATTCAGATAGAGATGATGAGTCTCCCACCGTCTGAGGAACTTGCTGCTGAGAATCTTGCTGACAAGTGTCCTCGTATGATTGAGATAGCAGACTTGAACATCGCCCTCTTCAATGGGTCTGAACCTGGGTCCAGCGGGTCCAGGACTGGGACTGGGGCTGGAGCTGCCACTGGCCGAGGAGCCACCCACCGACTGCTGTTCCAAATTCGGGCAGGATCTCGCAGCGGGAAGACAACTGGGCGCGTCAAGAGTGTCACCCTTCTTCATCAGTCCTAGATTCCCCTTGAGTTCATCATTAACCGACAGTGTATCAGCCTTCTCCGGGCAGACGTCTCCGTCGATGGTGGCAGTGCCGGTGGACAACTGCGGTGAACTCGTACTAGTTGTCTCCTGTCTCATGCCACCGTTGACTGACAAGAAGTTGTAGTACGGCTGATAGGGAACTGGTGGTGGTGCAAGACCAACTGATATCGCAGCTGCAGGACTAGACGGTAGAGAGGATCCCTCCTCGGTCTCCGTTTCAGCTTCCGGCTCGTCATCGTCCTCGTCATCGTCGTCCTCGTCTTCGCTGAAGCCATTCAACGACGGAATATCATCCACCGAATTCGCCTTGCCGTCTACCATCTTCTTGGTGTTGAGGACGACGGAGTTCTCGTTAGCCTTCAGACGAAGCAGAAACTTCTTTCGCCATTTCTTGGGCGAAGTCTTGCCAACCTGCGGCACCTGCTGGACTATCTCCAGGGAGGCCAGCGGTGCTAGGACAGCACCTGGTCCTGGTGACAGCGGATCTGACTCGCAGTAGTCGGCTTGCGCACCTGGCAGGGTGTCTGTACTACTGCTCTCTGATATTGATGCCTGATCAATGTAGCGGATTGACGAGCAGGAGTCCGCTTCTGAGGCACGTCTGTTTGTGTCTGACAGCTCCGTCAACTGGGTCGTGTCTATACTCATTTTAGATGACGCAGGAGCTGACAGGGACGGGGTCGTGACCGTCGTTGATGGCGTAGACCTAAGCGTGCGCGTGAACGGACTTTGGAAGCAAAACATTATGAGGTATTTGGTGATACTGTTGGCTTGTTGACCCTCAAGTTGACCCCGAGCTTTTTTTCTCGAGGGAGTGGGACTTCAGGGGGAGCTGTCGGCTTGTCTCAGGGGGCTGAACACTTATTTCTCAACCTTGCGCTCGCTCTGTTGATCAACCCTATCACTTGTTTTGGGCTTAGCTTTAGCTTTGTCAATGTTTTTGGTCGGGTACTAAGCGGCAACGGGTTTTTTGCGCGATCTTTGCCCAGACCACCGGTGCATTTTGATCGGGTTTCGGTGTATTTTCAGTGTTTTAGGACATTGTCAGGGGTTCACAAACAAGTTCACGGGTTCACTTCACTGCGTTTTTTGGTCTCAAGCACTTGGTGATCACAAGGTGATGGGACAATACGGTTTCGAGGATTTATGGGGGATTTTTTTTTTTTCAGGACTTTTACGCTTCTCGTGATCCGGTACTCATCTGGCTTCAACCGTGACGACGAGGGCGGACGAAGTGAGAGAGTGGTGCTGCTGAAGAGGGCGCGTCGCGGCGCACCACGTTTGCGCCCGATCGATGAGGACTCGGGGGGAAGTGTGCGGAGTTGTTTCTCATGTGAGGAGTTATGAGTGAGTTTATGAGTTTTAATTCAAGGGGAGGGGTTTTCCGAATTTTTTAGGGGAGGGGGGGGAGGGGCTATTGGGCGTATGTGCAGCACCGCGCGGGTTAATGCCGTATAATCCGTTTTGATTCGGCGAACCTGTTCGAATTTCAATTATTTGAACGTAATTGATTGCACACCTGGTCCTGGCGATAATTCACGGGATTTAAATCACGAGATTTTGGGGTCCATTGTTGGAGAGGAAAGTTTAAACATTTTTTGATTGAATTTTCTCATTTTTTTCTTCGTCTCATTTCTTTTTTTTTAATTGGAGGAATTAATTTTTTTATTCAGATTGAAATTCTCTTTTAGGATGAATTTCACTATTCTTTGGTGAACCAAAATTTTGGTTTTCGTCACTTTATTTTGCACTAGAGATCGCAAAAAATACAGAAATTGATGCGGTGAATGAAAAAATGTCGGGAATTTTGGTTTTCGTGAAAAAATCGCGAATTAAATTCCAATCTCATTTCAGCGCCGATCTCACCCGCGCGATCGGCGATATTGCACTATTGTGAGATCGTGACGAGCGCCGAACGAGGCCTGAGCGCGACTCCTCTCTCACTCTGGATTACTCTCTCACTCACTTTTTTTTTTGTTGTTACGCCTCGCGGGCCTATATACACACGATTGGCTCTCGTGATGTCGTACGTCAGACCTGAGAGAGACGGAGTCAGTATCAGCGCAAAAACGTTTTCTCAAATGGATCTGAGCGTTTCTAACACTCACGTATTTATAAATAATGGATTTTAGGCAGACGCTAGTATAGGCGGGAGGTTCCGCTTCACCTCTCATCCCACCTCTTTCGAGGCATTTGCGGGGGGGGGGAGATTACTATATATAAATCATCATCTAGTTTTTTTAATCTTTATTATTGCTGGAGAATTGTAAATCGAATTTCAAAAACGGAAGTGAGCTATTTATAGAGTTAGGGATATCCAAGTAATTTGGCGATTTTTTCTCCAGTGAAATGCATTTTACAATGATTTTATTATTTAAACTTTGTAAGTCGGAATTTGAAGCTCAATATTGAACCGTTAGAAAAAAATTGAAGTTTACTTTTGGAGAAATATTCACGAAATAATTGTAAAATTGCAATTTTTGAAAATTACGAGCGGTTTATATAAATAATTTATAAACAATCTATTCTTCACCGTAAAAATCATTTGTTCGGAGTCGCAACGAATTTATTCATATTCAGAATTTTACCGGAAGTCGATTTAATGTCTAAAAAATAAAATTTCCGAAATTTTGACCAATTTCAATCATTTATTTATAAACAACGAATGTTGAGAAAATAATAATTCTGTGCGAAATGTAAAAAATACTTGGGTAACCTTAAAGGAGAAAAAAAATTAATTTCAGTTTTTTTTCCAATCAATATTTAATTTTTTTCAACTTTTATTACTATTATTATTATTATTATTATTATTAATTTGTTGAAAAAAAAACATTTTTTTCTTTCATATCAGAACATACAGGGGCAAAACGGGTCATGTGATATATTTTGCATGAACTTTTCCTGCCTGAAACATCCTGGTGATTTGAAAAAATATAGTTGTCGGTGTGAAAAAATTTCGTTGATCATCATCACCGGAATTTTTCATGCGTGGGAAAAAACACGCGCTTAATAGACTCGTGGTAATGACGCTAATCCCACTCGTATTTCTCTTAATTGGTGATAACTCTTTTCCGGGTGTATCTGGAAGCCACGTGGAGGATAAATCGGTGAAAATCAGAGGCACTTCTGGGTTGTCTTGGGACTTCACCTTGAATTGGTATCGGTGTGGTGAACAATTATGGTTAACCACTTTTCGATCGTCTTTGCGGGGAGGATAAAAGCTCATGATCATGTTTTATTAGTTTTATTGTCGTTTGATTTTTATTCTTTGATGCTCATTTTTGTTTTTTTTTTTAAATAAAATTTATGAAATAATTGATAGACCATCAGTTCCTCACGGTGATAGTATTTTTTTCGAAATTGCAGCGAATTTATCAAAAATTGGGTTCATGTAAAAAAATAAGGTTTTTGAAATTTCAGACAATTGAAATTAACTATTTAAAAGAACATGTATTAATAAATTAATTCAGGATTCGATTCATCATTTAATCAACTTTCTCACGCATTTGTCTTAATCGACAAATTTGGTAATAAAAATATTTGAATCAGTAAAAAAACCAAGTGACCCTGAATTGTCAAAACTTCTACCCCAATTTCCATTTTAAACCATTACGAAACATTCCAAAAAACTCAAAAAAAATTGAGAGTCTCTTTTCTGGGAAAAAATCACGGAGCAATTTGTGAATTTCATTTTTTTAAATCACGACCTGGCCTATAATAAATCATGGACAATCAATTTTCCACCAAAAATCGATTTCATAAAAAAACCCTTTCCGAAGATTTAAGCAGTCTCCACTATTTGTTTGCAAAAAGCAAATATTAAAAATAATTTCCGAAAGAATTCTGTTATTGCCGAACAAATCTGAATTTTGTTTAAATTATTCCTACGCAATTTTTTTTATTACCCCCCATAAAAATGGTCATTCGAGGATAAAAAATTCAAATAGAAAGAAATTTACGTCAGAAAGAAGAGTTTAACTTATCCGCACTATTTTCACCTCACCAGACCCATTAAATACGCGACTAGCACCAGAAAGTAGATGATAAAAATATTTTATCACCTTCACGAGCGAAAGAAAACCCGATCCCCTCAGTTATGGTGTAAAAGTGACTTTAAAAAAAAAACAAATTAATTATATAAACAGCATCCGGAAGCCCTCAGGGTCTTGGTGACGTCACAATGGCCGTGAGGAATTCCATTGTGCTATCGAATTTGTACGTTTTGCGATTCACACAATGACCGTACAAATATGAGGACGCAGTGACGTTGGTTACTTGGTACATTTTAAGTATCGTGAGACTCTTGGGCAAATGATGCAATGTGGTATGGCATTAAGCACGCTTTATATTTAATTGAAACAGTTTTTCTTATCTGTATTCTCTTTTGTATACTTTGACTCTGGTCAGGAGGGACGGGATAAAGTGATTACTTAATTCGGTTTTTGCACGCGCCGGACATTCTGGCGATTGAGTGATAGAACGTGATGGGTTTGGTTGACTTGAATTGGAAGATATTGTTACGGAATCGAATGTTTAATTCATTGATATTCCTCCTTCTTCCTGATACATTTGTGTTTTTTCTTTCGTTATTCGATTGATAAAATGTAGTTCTAAAGCCTGAACGGAGATATTAATCACCACGTGTATTAAAAAAGAAATAAATCCGCCCCTTTTCCGTAATTCATCGCCTATGCATTACAATATTTATTGTACAATTGGGAATATGAGTGGATGCAATTTGTTTTTCTGTCGCATTATGTTTTCTGGTCATATTCAGTTGTCGATTCTTTCGATTTATTTGGATCTTCTTATTTCCACTTCGTTTATCGTTTGATCGTTTGTCGATAAAACTAGCTGGCGCCCAATCTTTGACATTAATTATTTATTCTTTACTTCAATTTCTCTCTCCCTTCCCACAACATTTTTTCGATTATTCATATTTTCAGTAAAGTAAATTTATTTTTTCATAATCGAAAGAATTCTGTCTCAGATTAGAACATTGGGAACATGTAGGATCACTGTTAAAGACGGAATTGATACCAAACATGGCTAAACTTTACTGCAAATATAATTGGATAAAATATAAAATCATAGGGTTGAAATTCTTCTCCCCTCTACTTCTCCATTAATACAACCGAACACTGGAATCATTTTTAAAGAAGAATACCTCGATTTATTCACGAATTTCTCACACATTTTATACATTCACTATTGAACAAAGCGCTGTAAGACATCTTCAAGTATTTGAAATATAAAAAAATAATGTTCTCGATATTTGGATGGAGTGCACTGATTAGGAAGAGCTGGGGATGAGCTGTTCGTGAATGAGTTTCAGGTCCTCACGTCCCGGCGCCATCCAAGCCTCAATTTCCTCGACCCTAGAAAAAAAAAATTCATCATCACTCAACAAATTTTGCATTTCGCTGTTTGAGATGATTTGCAGATCCAAAAGGAGGAAAATCGGTTGGGAAAGTCCAATTTTCCGAGGACAATTCCAACGATTTTAATGAGGAAGGCACTTACGTTCTTGGCACTTCAGTGAAGTTCTCCACTCCATTTTCTGTTATCAAGACGTCATCCTCGATTCTGACGCCACCGAATCCACGAAATTTGGCTATTTTATCCGCTACCATGTACTGACGCTGCTTTGGATTCGAGAGTGCCGCGTTCAAGAGCTGTTTAACATAAATTATAAATTATTATTGAAGAGATCGATTTATTTTCTATTTTTGAGGAATTCTTGCGGGAAGATAGGAATTTAAAAAGAATTCCTTCATTTGATTTATTCAGATGGAAATTGCTTCTCAAGGAAAATTCATGGATATTTTATATTCGAGAGACAATAGTGAAAAATCATACTTGTTGAAAATACTACATCAATTACTGAAACAATAGATTAATTATCAATTATCGATTATTGTTGTCTATGTCAAATAATTTTCGTAGTCTTCAAGAATTCTCTTGAGAAGGAAAGAAATGAAGAAAAATTCTTTCGTTTGATTTATTCAAACCAAAATATTTCCTCAAGGAAAATTTGTGAGAATTTCAACTTCAAGACGAGATAGTTGTTGAAGAATGATTAGCTTCTCAATGCTTTTCAAAGCTTTTTGAAGGACAAAATAGTAAGAAATCCAATATTTTTTCAAAATACTATTGCAATTGAAAAATTACGTCTATCTATTTGAATCAAAAACCAATTATTCGAGTGATCATATTTGTCAATTAAATTTCAAATTAAATCTTTTTTTTTTAAACAGTCGTTCACAGATAAATAATTTAAATTGTTTAAACTTTCGGAAACCTCATTTTTTAAGCCTGAAATCGACTTCTGGTAAAATTCTGAATGTGAATAAATTCGTTACGATTCCGCACAAATGATTTTTACGTTGGAAAATTGATTGTTTATAAATTATTCATAGAAAATGCTCGTAATTTTCAAGAATTGCAATTTTTTCATTATTTCATAAATGTTTCTCCAAAAGTGAACTTTCCAATTTTTTTCAGATTTTTAAAATGTTCTCTAACAAGTGTGTTCTAATATCGAGAGTCAAATTCAGACCTGCAAAGTTTAAATAATAAAATCATTGTAAAATGTCCTGAAACTTGGGGTGAAATGGGGCTCAAATGAAAGCTCGAATGTTCGACTACAAAAGTAGAAAACCATTTCAGTGTTGAAAAAATAGCGTCAAAGGATATCCTTGAGGAGAAAGAAAACTGTGAAAATGCCATCAACGAAGTAAAAAAAAAAATCATAAATCACTCACAGAATCAACGAAATAGCATCCAGGCTCGATAGTGAGAAACATTCCAGCAACAAGTTGTCTAGCAGTTCTCAGTTTTCTGATCCCCGGCTTGACAGATCTTTCAGGGTAGCCAGGGAGGTACCCCCCAACATCGTGAACATCGAGCCCAAGGAGGTGCCCAAGCCCATGAGGCTGGAAGGTCTCGTTAAGTCCCACATTCATCATGTCCTCGACCTCACCACACAGAAGGCCCCCGTCCCTCAGAGCTGCCAGCATCACTCGATTCGCCAGTAGATGCATGTCAGTCCAGCTGACTCCAGGCTTGGCTGCCTCAATCACTGCATTCCTGGCACTCAGGACTGCATTGTAGATCAGTTTCTGGTCCTCTGTGAATTTTCCATTTGAGGGAAAGCTGCAGGTGATGTCTGCTGCGTAGCCACAGTAATTTCCACCCATATCGAAGAGACTGAAAATTGAGAGTTTGATTAATTCTGAGGGAGCACTGGGGAAATGAGACGATTAAATGTTATTTGACAGTTTGGATACAAAAATTTGAAAAATCAGTGGAATTGAACTGATATAGTTTCCTCTTCCACAGGGATTGGGACATGTATTTTGAGAATTCAATAGAAAATTCTATTGACTAGAAAATCCGATCAACAGGAAATTTGATTGATTTTTTTTTCAATTCCATTTCTGTGTTGCCAGATATTTTGGCGTCAAGCTTCTCTTTCCAATCCTCTTAAGAACATTATTCGACCCATTCAACACAGATTGATCATGTCCACTTGACTCAGCTTATGACAACTCAACAAAACGTCAAAAACTGCGAGCAAAAGTTCAATACAATAAGTCAAGTACAATATTTTTCAAGAATTAACAGTGATCCCCTGAATTAAATCTCACCACATATCTCCATCCTTCATGACTCTATTATTAGGCGCCCCGGCATGTCCGTAATGTAAAATTGACGAATTATTCCCGGAGCCGCACATGCACGTGTAGGAGACGTGTCTGCATCCACCGACAGCGTACACGTAATGTTTAAACAGAGATTCACCCTGGAACTCTGACATCCCCGGCCTCACGTTTCTCATCACGACTTTGTGGGCATCCGAGCTGACCTTGGCGACATATCGAAGCACCTCGATCTCCTGAGGAGATTTGACGATTCGACTGGAACAAAAAACAATACCCCAATTACTTTTTTCCACCAAACAACATTTCAAGGCATTTACATGGATAACGAGGGATCCCAGGCGAAAAACCCTCTGGACCTTTTTTGTAGCTGATGAAATTTCCGACAAAAAATGTCTTATGACATTTTCCCCTGGAGTGACTCCTTAACTAGATATTGTCATTTGAAATTCGCCAGTCACCGGGAACCTCAGAATGGCTCCTCAGCATGATCAAACCTCTCCTTCAAATACTCCAGCAGCCCCTCCTCCTCCCCACTCAACCTGAGTATCTCCCCATAATCCAGCATTACCACTCTCATCCCCATCTTCCTCAAGTGCCTCATCCTCATGACCCTAGGCCCAATTAAAACCTCCGTCCCCCGACAATAGTCCTCGGGCAAATGTATCACCACCGCAGTCCTTCCTTCCTCATCCACTCTGAACATGGGCGACGTCACTGGAGTCTCATGAACAACAGCATCCACAATATAATCATGATCATTCAAGAACTCTCCAATCACCACCGATTTGCTGATCCGCCCCGCCCCCCAGATCTTCACCAACTGCGGGTAAATGAGGTCCAAAACCCTCCGCAATTTCGGCCTCAGGGCCACCGAGTTGTCCAGCCTCTCCTCCTGGAAATGCTGCACATAATCATGAAACTCCAGAGCCAACGATTTATCCAGCAATTTCATCTTCTGCTTCAACATTTCACGTGACTTGACTCTCCTCATGAATCTGGATTTGAAAATTCGAGTGGAGAACTGGAGAGAAAATTTCTGGAGATATGCGCAGGACAGGAGAACGTTGATGGCATCATTAGGAGTCATCCTGCTCAATTTCTTCTCCAGTATCGTCTCCAGGCTCTTCCAGAACTCCCCACCCACATCGTAATTCAGGTAGCCAAACGGCACGAGCATCGAAGCCAACAGACCTTCCGGAATCTCCAGACCATTTCTCATAACGTAACTCGCGCAGTTCTCCAGGATCACTGGATTCCTGATCCTGAGATTATGACAGTAGGTCATAATACTGGACATCAACACCGGACTTGGGTCCTTCTGCTTCTCCACAACTTCCTGGATCGCCATCTCAAATTGTCTGGAGTAAATTTCAGTGGATATCAACGCCTTCACAAAATTAATTGCATCTTCTTCTCCAGCTGGAGAGGTCAAACCTTCCCTCGACCACTTCTCCAGGCACTCCAGAACGACGTCAGAAGACAATGAGTCCTGAAAGACCTTGAGCACCTCCGCAACATCAGATCCATTCAACTCCCCCCAGAACTTCTCCAGCTTCCTTTCACAGATGATCTTAACGATCCTCTGACTTTCTCCAAAATAATCCAGGATTTTTATCAGTGGGATGAAGTTCCTCGAGGTTATCTCGTGTTGCTTGTCCTCTATTCCGCTCCAGAGGAGGTCGATAACCTCCCGGTACTTTCGGTCGTGATAATTAGAGATCGTTTTTACGAGATTTATAATCCTCTCCAGCTGGAATTCTCCAGCACTCACACGAATCAAGGATTCGTCGACTAGTTTGTCGCGGTAAGGGTTCCGTGGGGGGCTCATGCGATCCTTCGAGAGGAGGGTCAGGCCCTCCAGAAGAAGGTCGGAGTCCTGGAGGCTGGTAATAGTGTCCACCACGTCCTGGAGAAGTTCATTTCGAGTCGAGCGGTATTGGTCGTAGAGGTAGGTTGAGAATTCCTCGTGGTAGATTAGAGAGTTCTCACTGTGGAGGATTCTGGAGAGGATTTGGAGGTAGACTCTGCATCGAATGTCCATGGGGACGTCCTCCAGGCGACAGAGGGATGGCTTCGAAGGGCTGGAGGAGGGGGAGGGGCTTTTGGTGGGATTACCGAAGAGAATTGCTGTTCCGTCTTCTGTGTTTATTTCTATTCGCTTTTGGAGGGGCTTGGGCGGCGCCTCTGGAGCCTCCAAGAAAGTCACACCATCGATTTTTACGAGGATTTCGGAGGGTTGAGGGGGCTTATGGGGGGGGTTGGGGGGCTTTGGGAGAGGCACAAGAGGTTTTGCGAGGGTTAGGGGGAATTTGGAAAGGTCGGAGGTCAGCGGGATTAAGAGGGGAGCTTCCAGGATGGTGGAGCCCTCTTGAAGAAGGAGGGTGGAGGGGGCGAAGGAGGAAAAATTTAAGCGGATTCTTGGAAAGGGCTTCGGGGGGATCAGCAGTTTCCACATTTTGGGGGGAGTGTTAGATTTTTAAACTAGAATTTGGTGTGAAGGGGGGCGAGGTGAGATGATAGCTGTCATTTTTTTTTATTGGTTTAGAATTTTTTGCGGATTCGAATGACTGGAGGAGGGGAGAGGCTCTTGGAGCTGGAGGGTTTCGAAGAGAATTGTTGTTCCGTTTTCACAGGGGCTTAGGAGTCACCTCTGGAGATTCCAGGAGGGTCACGTCATCAATTTTTATTAGGAGTTGGGAGGGCTGGGAGTGGTTTTGAGGGGATTAGGAGGACCCTGCAGAGGTTGACAGGGTCAGGCTGATTAAGAGTGGGGCTTCCAGGATGGAGGGGTCCTGGAGAAGGGTTAACTATCTCTTTTTTTAGGTTTCGAATTTCTTTTAGGGAAAATTCATGCTTTATTCGACAAAGTGTATAGTAGGTTGATTAATAGGAAAATATACGCACCATTCACAGATGACTGGATACAACACCTCTTTATCAACTTTGAATCTAAAGATTGAAAAAAATAAATTAAAATTAATTTAAACAAAAATAGGAGAATAGGCGATTAACCAAATAATCGTCAGTTTTCCGAATTTGAATATTTAATTGATGATTAATTCAATAATTTAAAAATCGTTGGGTAATGTTAACCAGTTAACTAATGCAAAGTTTAACTTGACTTGCACGTGACTCAATTTTCTTTTTATTTAACTTAATTTTCTGCTACTCACTCATTAATGCCATCGAATTCTGCATCCTTAACGAACAATCCACTGTCACTATTCTGTCCTCTCTGAAATCACCGCAAGAACAAGCTCAGTGAAACGACCCAGCAGAAAAATCCCCAATAAACCCCAGTGCAGAGAGGCCCCAGTAATTGACGAACCCAACAAAACGAAAAAGTAAATTTCGCGGAATTCTAGGTCACACACAAATAGAAATCACTTTCAGCCCAATGAGCAGAAATAATCTATACACTGTACATATCTATGTGGCTCCAAAGCCCAACTAAGGTTTTACGTGTCATCGATTTATACTTCTGCAAACTCCACTCGTTTCACTACTACCTAATGCAATATTCTACTCCAACGAAATTACGCTCGATTTATCTTTTTGTTACATCTAGAACTGAGAGAAAGAGCCTTATCTGATTGGAAAACTGTTTCCTTGTTTTGAAAAATGGCGAGACATTCAGGTGGAAATTGAGTGTCGAAAAAAAAAATTGTTTTCCCAGAGGGAAAAATCCAGCCTGGGGCCTATCAGATGCATGGAATAACGTGATTACTATCGAGGTCGAGGGAAATAAGCTGTTGGGGGCTGAGATACATCGATAAGTCGATGACATTGATCGATGGAATTTTAAAAATGAAAAAAACTGAAATTCTTCGGAAATTCACAAAAGTCAGAAAATTCATCTGCAGTTTTTTGAGGATATCTCACAAACTATGGGGTTCAGAGAAAAATGTCTCAATAACTTTTTTGTAGAGAATTGAATTTCCTACAAAAACTTTATGAAGCATTTTCCTCTCACTCCCCTCCTTCGATGAAAAAAAGCCATAAAAGACAGTCAAAAAATAACCAGACGGAGGAGGAAACAATGAATCCACAGAAATATCTAAAAATAAATCCTCTGACGCTTTTGATATTCAAAAATATATAGACTGCATTGTGACGAAAGCAATATCCCACTTGTTTTTTACTTGCTGTGAAACCCACCAGTGTCAGTACTTGCTGGGCATTTTTCTTCTTCAACACCTGTGCTATTCCCTCAACGTAATGCGCCTCATCTACGTCATAACGCTGCTTGAATTCATCGAGAGTACTAAGTTTACCACACCAAATCTCGTACTCAGCTGGTAGCCGTGGGAAGAAGAGAATTGACTTGCCGGATGTTATATCGAGGGCACCGTAACATCCTGGCTCCTCCACTCCAAAACACCACTGGAAGAATGATTCCTGAAAGGAGGAGAATAAAATCATTTTAATGACAATTGGGGGAATTGGCGGTGGCAAATGAGTCAAGTGAAGGGATTAAATGTCTTTTGACTCTTCGAATATGATTAGTAGATCGTACAGGTCAAATTGTCTAGGTAAATTCATTCATCTTCGACTCATATTCATCTTCTTCCAGAAGGAATGTCACATCCTGTTCAATCCTGTTCAATAGGAAATTTCATTGATTTTTCTTCCGAATTTCTATTGCATATATCACAATTATTCCGCACGTATTGTCCGTTGTGATACCCCAAAAGATGAATTTTTCAGCCGAAAGGAAGTGAAGACAGAACAGTGAAATAATAGGAAAAACGCCTTAAGAGCGAATTTCAAGAAGATTTTTGTTTTCATTATTTGACTCTTCGAATTCGTTGTTTGACTCTTTGATTATAATAATTAGGTTGTACAGGCCAACTCGTCTAGGTGAGTTATGAGCAAAATCGTTAGGATTAAATTGTATCCTCCGCTCAATGGAAATAATAATTTCCCCACGATTGTCATAATTAAAATCTAATCAGGCTGGCCCGGGACTCAATTAGAGAAATACGATTTTGAAAAAATAAACGCTTCTCTCAAGTAAATGAATATTTACTTTGCTGTCCTGGGACTCGATTAGGGAAAGACGATTTTGAAAAAATAAACGCTTCTCCCAAGTAAATGAATGAATATTTGTCAATGAATATTTGTCAAAAAAAAAATTTTTCTCAGTGGCGCTGATTTAGCTTTTACGATGACCTCAACGGGTTCCTCCCTCATTTCCACCTCGAAACAGCCAATCCCAAAGTTTGTTTATTTTGTTGACTAGCCTCGCATCAGGTCAACGGCACCTAATGTACATCACAACGTATTATCTTGAATCAGATAGACATCGCAGTTGAGGATGTAAGAGCCATGGCTAGATACAAGTAAACCAAACGAACGGTGTTTTGTTGCCGGGCGGAAGTGGGCGCGATGATTAGAGGCATTCTGAAGTATTTCCACCACTACACATTTAACAAAAACTAACACCTCGGTTAATGACTTCTCCAGCAATTGCACTCAACAGCTTGAGCCATTCCCCCTGAGTCCAGTCGACATTTTTCCCCTCAAGAATTATTTTTTTCCATTTCGCTTTATTTTTAGAGATAATTGAGGAGTTGTAATTGATCAGAATATAGTGGGGGCATCCCCTGGGGCTCGACTCACCTGTCTGAACTCGTAGTTGATGTCAGTGTCGTTGAATGGCACCTCGTCACCTCCCTGGAGGACCACGAAGCCATTTTCATGGACTCCAGGGGTTTTTCTGAGGCTCTCGATCAGACGATCTCTGTTACCGCGGAATAGGGACATTGAGACACGCAGGGTGTGCTGCCCACGCACAAAATGGGACTCCATGGGACATCTGTAACATGAGATCCAACAGAGCACTGATTTATTCGTCGATTGACAACGGCTCTTAATCAATTCTGCATTGAAATCGTAAACAGCGATTAGTCGAGTATAATTTCACTTGTTGAGAATGGCATTATCTCGATAATGAGAGGTTTTAGAGAAAAATGTTATTAAGCATTATTGTAGAGGAGGAAATTTCCTGCAAAAAGTGTACGACGACTTTTTTTCTAAACCCATTATTTTCGGAGTTATTTACAAAAACGTGAAACTGCGGTTTTTAGCTGTTTGGAAATGTCCACAAATTTCGTTATGAGTAATTTGCGAATATCTTTGGAACCATTTGGTTTAGGAAAAAAACTCGTAAGACATTTTTTATTGCTCATGAAATTCTCGATAAAGTTTGTATGGAACATTTTTTTCTAAACCCCTTCCTTCTCCGACGAAACCTCAATACAGTTTGAAACAGCCGAATTGGAACCTCAATACAGAATTTATCTCCTGTTTAAAAAAAAATCATCAATCCTTTATTTTTCACGTACTTAGCATTGGAATACATTTGCACCGAAGTTCTGCAGAAACTCCTATCAACTCTCCTCCATAAAAATCCCGGAAATGCCCTCGACGAGTTGAGAACTCGTTGTTTCACCGAAATTATGAATAAATTCCTCACAGCACTTGTCATTCCCTGATGGGACAATTCAAGGGAGAAAGTTCATGTTTACGTGAAAATAAAATTATGCAACTGAGACAGTGCACCTTGTGTTACGTTCCACTTCTCATTCGGTGTTCCCCACCCGTGTCTTTTAATTCTGATTAATGTTTCGGGTTCTTTCATACGGGATTAGTCGTTTAAAGTGTAATCCGATTGTAAGTTCGTCGGGATTTTGACGACATAATGCTACGGTGATAGATAAGGAGTTGAGTGGAGGCATGCATGGCTCGCTTGTTTAGTCTCGCGTTATGGATTACACAAGAATCTCGGCGTGAACATTGTCATCAGAGAGATGGACACGGGGATTATGCGTAATTCCGAAAAACTTGTTCACCATTTTCAGTTAAAATTGAAAACACTCTTTATTACTCCGTGAATATCTCGGAAATGAGTGGGTTTACGGGAAAATGTGATAAAACATTTTTTGTAGGGAATTTCATGAGCTGCAGAAAAGGTCTGAATGAATTTTTCAGTAAATCCGATACTTTCCGAGATATTTGCAAAATAGTTAAGGGATTTTTCGCTCTAAACTCTTTTGCTCCGAAGATATCGAACAAAATCTATCTTCCTTCAATGTTTTCCTCCCAAATTTGCTAAGAAAAATCAATAGTTCCCTTTGGACTTCGCTCCATGATTTTATTATCGTAACAGAGTCCCCCCTCCCTAGTCAGTTCAGGGAAAATCCAATTGTAAATTCCGAAGAACTTGTTTATCATTTTCGATTAAATCTGAAAACACTCTTTATCATTCCATAAATATCTTTTTTTTTTTTTTTTATTGAACCATAAATATCTCGGAAATGCGTGGGTTTAGGGGAAAATGTGATAAAACATTTTTCGTAGGGAATTTCATGAGCTGCAGGAAAGGTCTGAATGAATTTTTCGGTAAATCCGATACTTTTCGAGATATTTGCAAAATAGTTAAGGGATTTTTCGCTCTAAACTCTTTTGCTCCGAAGATATCGAACAAAATCTATCTTCCTTCAATGTTTTCCTCTCAAATTTGCTAAGAAAAATCAATAGTTCTCTTTGGACTTCGCTCTATGATTTTATTATCGTAACAGAGTCCCCCCTCCCTAGTCAGTTCAGGGAAAATCCAATTGTAAATTCCGAAGAACTTGTTTATCATTTTCAATTAAATCTGAAAACACTCTTTATCATTCCATAAATATCTCGGAAATGCGTGGGTTTAGGGGAAAATGTGATAGAACATTTTTCGTAGGGAATTTCATGAGCTGCAGAAAAGATCTGAATGAATTTTTCGGTAAATCCAATAATTTCCGAGATATTTGCGCATTAGTCACGGGACTTTTCTCTATAAACCCTTTTTCCCCGAAGATATCGAGCAAAATCAATCTTCCTTCAATTTTTCCCTCCGAAATTCATGAAGAAAAATCAACAGTTCTCCTCAGGCTTCGCTCTATCATTTTATTATCACAACAGAGTCATTGGCCCCTCGACCCTCCCACCTAGAAAAAAAAATTTCCTTTTCAAAATATGTCGACACACGTCACACGTCACCGCGATCCAGTTACTCCGGAATCCATCATTTTTTATTCTCCTACTTTACAACCCACTTCCGGTAGACTCACCGAGTAAAACCTAGTCGTGCCCCCAACTATCGCAAGATAACAAATGGAAACGTGAAAATAAAATAAACAACGCGGAAAGACATTTCTGGTCGCGTTGATGCGACTTTTTTGCTCCGTGGGCTTCTGCGCAAAGCTCGTGCGATTCAAAATGTTGACGCTAAACCGGTTATACAACGTGGGAAGCCGGGGATCTTCTCTTTGGGTGATAAACAAAAAGGGGAATGGGTTCTTAATTATGGGATGACATGTCAGATGAAAATGTTTAATTTCGTGGAGTTGCGATATTTTTTGAAATTCACAGGGGAATATCTTGGGAAGTTGTGGGTTTAGGGGAAAATTTTGTGAGAACTTTTTTGTGGAGAATTTAATTTCCTCCAAAAAATGTTGAAACCATTTTTTTTATAAATCCACTAGTTGCCGAGATATTTCCAGAATTGCAAAACTAAAATATTCATTATGAGTTTTTTCTGCCATTTTAATAAATTACTTTATAACCGTTGAATTATCTCGATAATGAGTGTAAGTACGAAAAAATGTCACAAGACTTTTCTTCAGAGAATTAAATTTCCTCGAAAAAAGGTGAGAGCTCATTTTGCGGTAAATCCCCTAGTTTTCGAGATATTTTCAAAATTCCAAAACCAAAGTCTTCGTCATAATGTATTTTTTGTTCTAAAATTGTTTCAAAGTTGAGAAAGCAAGAGACATGTCAAAAATATCCGTGCGACAAACGTGAATCATTCAGCATGACACAGTTAAAACATGAATAACAGAAATAAAGAAACATGGAAAATAAATCAACAAGTGGAACGAGAAGTTGATGGACTTTACGGAAGTGATTCGACTCCCCAACGATTCCTTATTTTTCAGAGCATTGCGGTAATGTTCAGAGTCCATCATACCATGATTCATCACTCAAAGGCAAGTGAAATCATCAGAAATTTATCAGAGGAATTCTCTCCACTCCTCCGCCTCAAGACGACGATAAAAAAAAAGCGAGAGAATTCTCTTCGGAGAATATTCTTCGACTTTTAGGGCCCGACAATTAGTCTATTTGCTCTCCAGAATTTTTCGAACCAAGGAAACACCTGGGAATGCCCGGAGATTGATAGAACAATGTCTCCTCCGGTAAACAAATATTCGTGGGTTTTTTACCACGAGCTTTGGGCGTAAAACAAATAGAGAACTCTGATAAACTAGAGTTGTGGTACGTTCGGAGTGAAAGCCTGAACAAACTTCAATATTTGTGGTACGTGTAAGTTGCACTGACAAAATTCGTCTGGCAGTTCTCCCATTGTGCACGGCAAGCTCGGAATGAGGTACGGAAAATTTCCATGACGATAGGTCAGGTGAATAAATTTATTGCTCTATCTTCGGACGATTTCGGTGATGATAAATTTCATCTCGGAGTTGTCGCTTATCAATTGTTGAGTTATCTCGGTGATAAATTGGGCTATGATAATATATCTTTCCAATATTTTTTTGAACTTTAGTTTGCCCGATATTTTTGCGGAGAAATATTCAGGAAAAATTGCGGAACTCACACGGAGAGAAATATTCAGTCAAAATTACGGAACTCACAATTCACTCACCGATTACGGAATCGACTCAGAAAATTTAAGTGACGGTATCGTAATTTTTCACAGGAGATTCAAATAAAAATTACAGAACGCTCTTGAAAAATTCCGTGACAGTTCCGTTAAATTACGAAAAAGATACGCAATTTTTATTGAATATTTCTCTCCGTGTGAGGAACGAGATCGAAGTCGAAAACGTCTTTTGCAAATGCACTAATTATAAATGCATTAATTAATCTGTTGGTAATCACTTAATTATCTCAGGAAGCCGTGAAGTTTGGAAAAAAAATGTTTGACTATCTGAAAAAAAATATTTACGAAATAAGGCAAAGGGGAATTTTTCATTAATTGCTTAATTATCTCGGTAATGAGCGAAGAGATGGAATGAAATCACAAGATATTTGTCCACAGGAAATCCAATTTCCGTCAGAAAAAAATTCACTCCGATATTTCTCCCCAGCGCCATTATAATTCATTAAAAAAAATGCAAAATGATCTAGATGAAAATTTTTCATTCATTGGCCGTTGACTGTTCAATTATCTCGATAATGCCTGGAGCTATGAAAAAAGTCGTTGAACATTATTTACGGGAAATTAAATTCTCTACAAAAAAGTCCACTGACATATCTCTCCAAATCCACTCCGCTCCAAGTTATTTACGAAAGAGTGAATGTGCAAAAAATCGTCAACAAAATCGAGAAAAACCGCCATTTTCCTTTTTCCCTTAATTAATTCATCAGGAGAATCCACAGTCAATAATTTCCCCTCCCTCCACAACTTCACTCCAAAACAACAATAAAAAAATAACAAAAATGTCCAAACAACCCGACAAATGTCTTTGTTTAAAAAAATAAAATGAAATCAAAGAGAGAAACCGGGAAAAATCATAAAAAATGTGCGTCATCATCTGCGATTAAAATTCCGCGCATCACCGAAGTAAACAAACTCCCGATGCCACTCTCATAACCTAAAAATCCCGAGTGAAAGCTATTGAAACGACGCACAAATTGAAAGTCCAGTCCACAAACAAAATTCCCCGAATTTTATTCCCCCCAAACAGTCCAAAAATCAACATAAACTCCTCTTCCCGGACGCAGATATCACCCATTTAGCCCCTCCTCCTCAAATAATACCGTTAAACAATTCACAAAGCTCATCTCACCCCTTGAATCCCCTCAGTCGACATGAGAAGCCGATTATTATCGATTTTTAATTCCCTAAAACCCCCAAAAGTCACCTAAAACAGCTGAGAAAACAGTCGAAACAGGCGAAAATTCAATAAACAATTGATCATCTCAACTCTTTGTTGCTGACGTTTGACAGATAACACTATCAGACCCGTACGACTGCTCCGAAACGATCAGGAGAAGTAAATAAACTAATAACAATGGAGTTGTGCGAGAAAAATGAAGAATAAGGAGAGAATTAATTGAATAAATTAATGAACGAGCGAAGAAATTCCTCTGCGATTGGATTTTTAATGAATTACTTTGAAAGGCCAACGACACGATAACATTTTTCACGTAAATACTTACGTGTTGGGCGCAGTGGCAGCCATGTTTGTTGGATACTGCCAGATGTTTACCCCCACTTCTCTCCCCTGAATTACTGGGAATGTCAACTCTGCGGAGCTGACGATTGAACTGAAGCGACTGCGGTCGATTCCCTCATTTTTTTCCCGATGAAATGTCTCATATCGGGGACTGATAATGGGAATTTTTCATCTGATTGTTGGGCGGGGGAGTCATTGATGAGAGATATTGCTTTGGGCGTTGGATAGGGGATTTATTACGATTTGTTTTGGGTAGAGTTTTGAAATTTCCGTCGAGGTCAAACGACCTTTAAAGAGGTTCAGGGCTGGGGGTCAAATATGGTTATGAAGAAAAGACTAGGAGTCGGATAGCTCAATTGGGAGAGCACCTGATACATAATCGAAAGGTCCCGGGTTCAAATCCTGGTCTGGACTATCAATTTTTTTCAGTAAAAATTTTCTGGTTATTCATATTGAGAATAATCCGGGTTCCCCTCCTACCTTATCCAAATCCTATTCAATCATTTTGTAGGACTTCACAAAGATGTGGAACGCTACATAAATTCCCTTCTTTAATGTATGTAATTGACCCTTAATGGTTTTAAGGGTCGTTTTGGCCCTTAATGGTTTGTCAAACGACCCTTGAGGCCGTTGGGAGTTGAGGGTCAAACGACCCTTGAGGACGTTTGGAGTTGAGGGTCAAATTGTCTTGAGGGGAAATTCACTCTTAAAGCCGTGTGGGATTGAGGGTCAAATGACGCTGAATGAAGTTTGAGGTTTAAGATCAAATGGTTTCGAGGGTCAAACGACCCTTGAAGACGGCAATTGACCCTTGAAGACGTGTGGGGTTAAGGGTCAAATAACCTTTTTCTGATGAATCTGCTCTGACCCCTTCGACCCTCAACTGTAACTGTTCACAAGGGTTGATTGACCCTCGAGACTATTTGATCCTCAACTCCAAACGTCTTTAAGGGCCATTTAACCCTCAAAGCCATTCAACCCTGTTGACGTTTGAGACTGAGGGTCAAACGACCCTTGAAAATTCTGCTCAACCGGTTCACCCTTAAGACCATTTGACCCTCAAATAATTCTCTCATTGAAAAATTGAAGGAAAATATCGAAAATTAATGAAAAAATTTGCAAAAAAAATTGAAAATAGTCCTCAAACCGCAGTATTTCAGAAAGTAATGGGGCTACGAGAAAATGTAAAAGAACATTTTTGCAGAGAATTTAGTTTTCCACAAAAAATTCAGATGACATTTTCCTCAAAACCCAACAGTTTCGAAAAAATCTTTGAAATCATTTCCGTAAAACGAAAATATTGAACTCATATCCTGCTCACCCTCCACCCCCTCCATAATTCATGAACAACATTCGAAAAAAAATAGTCAGTCATTCACTCGTGCACCGCAATTCTCGAAAACAATTTCCCATTACATGTAAAATTGCCTCCTTTGACTTTTAAAACACTCGCGTGACTAATATCCCCGGGTTTACCAAGAGAATCAACCTACATATGTCGTATGCCCGAGCGTCACACAGTAAACAATTTTGCGCAACTGAATACAGTATTTACAGCCTCTAATTTCTCAACTCTTCCCCCGAGAGAAGTTAAAGAAAAAAAAACACGAAAGATAAATCTTTTTTACGGAAATGGCATGAAAGTAGGAGAATGTGGGATGGATTTTTAAGTTGGAGATATTTATCATGAGGATTATTCTGCAGTGACGATTGTGATGCCCATAAACGAGTATTGAATTCCCATTCCGAAGGATCGTCACCTCCAATTTACAAATAAGGCCTCGAGTCAGCCATAAAACTCGATATTACCCATCAATAATAATCTCGTTTCTCCACTGGGCATTTGTAAACAAGCATTGAGATGACCTCGTCCGCAAATTGACGGGGACACCTCGATAATGAGAATTAAATCGCCGGGGGCTCATTCGCACAAAAAATTGTTGTTTATCAGCGAAAGACAATTTCTTGATTTATTTAATTTTTTTACGTTCGATCTACAGGTGGAGAGAATCTTCAATCAATTATTCAGTTGACAAATGAGTCGGTAGAATCATGTTTTCATTCATGAACTGACAATTGACTCTACAAAACAACTAATCAAATGTAAAAACAATTTTTTACTCGTACTTGAAGGTCTAACGATCCTTAAGAAAGTTCAGGGTTGAGGGCCACATGGTCTCAAGGGTCAAATGGGTTAATCCTACACGTCTTCGAGGGTCGTTTGCCCCTCAAGACAATTTGACCCTCAACTTCAAACGTCCATAGGGGTCGTTTGACCCTTACGAGCATTTTACCTTAGCCCCCAAGGTCATTACGGGTCATTTGACCCTGAACTACAAAATCCTTGACCCGTAAGAGCGTTTAGAGTTGAGGATGAAATGGTCTAAAGGGCCCAAAGGTGAGAACACAGTAATGAAGAAAGGTCATTTGCCCCTCAAACCTCGTCTTCAAGGGTCGGTTGACCTTCAAGACAATTTGACCTCAGCTACAAACCCCTTAACCCTTAAGAACATTTAAAGTTACGGGTGAAATGGCCTAAAGGGCCCAAGGAATGCGATCAGAGTGATCAGAAAGGGTCATTTGACCCTCAAACCTACTTCTTCGAGGATCGTTTGCCCTTCAAGACAATTTGACCCTCAACTTCAAACGTCCTGACGGGTCGCTTGACCCTTACGACCATTTTACCTTAGCCCCCAAGGTTATTACGGGTCATTTGACCCTGAACTACAAAATCCTTGACCCGTAAGAGCGTTTAGAGTTGAGGATGAAATGGTCTAAAGGGCCCAAAGGTGAGAACACAGTAATGAAGAAAGGTCATTTGCCCCTCAAACCTCGTCTTCAAGGGTCGGTTGACCTTCAAGACAATTTGACCTCAGCTACAAACCCCTTAACCCTTAAGAACATTTAAAGTTACGGGTGAAATGGCCTAAAGGGCCCAAGGAGTGCGATCAGAGTGATCAGAAAGGGTCATTTGACCCTCAAACCTACTTCTTCGAGGATCGTTTGCCCCTCAAGACAATTTGACCCTCAACTTCAAACGTCCTGAAGGGCCGTCTGACCCTTACGACCATTTTACCTTAGCCCCCAAGGTCATTACGGGTCATTTGACCCTGAACTACAAAACCCTTGACCCTTAAGAGCATTTAGAGCTGAGGATGAAATGGTTTAAAGGGCCCAAAGGGTGAGAGCATAGTAATTAAGGGTCATTTGACCCTCAAACCTCGTCATCAAGGGTCGGTTGACCTTCACGACAATTTGACCCTCAACTAGAAACAGAAAAAAATCCTGCATGGAGGATCAACTCGTCACGCTTCCCCTCGTATTATTTTTCCACCTCCAAAAATATCGAGGGACCCCTAAAAACCGCCAACTTTCTCTTCCCGTAATGACCAGAAACCAGCATTTAACGAACAATGAGGTCTCGTCGGCTACCTGCGAGTCCCTGAGTAAATGAAAACGCCTGAGTATCCGTTCTGTTCCTTTTTCTCCCTCATTCTGTTCAATGCTCCCAAGGGCGTAGATACCCGGGGATACAAATCCATTGAAAAATATTGCGACTGTCCTTCTAGTCTCTTCTGCTCTCCTCTGTTCGTCATTAAAAAACACGATGACTCGTTTTATTTTTACTCCATTGAGACAATGCGACTGGTGTCTGGCATAACGCAATCATGAATTTTTTTTTTCATTAGTATTGCCAATACGACGAAACGGGGTCTTTCATTGGTGCAATTGTTGTCACTGATGGATTCATCTGTCTATTTGACACCGAAACAAAGTGATGGCTCGACAATTCTCTTGAGAAATTGTCGTTTCGCCTGCTGATGTTTTCAATAATTAAAAAATCATCTCATGCTTTTTTCATTTGGAAAAAAATTTCCAAGAACTTTAGATATTAAAAAAATGTATTCTTTATTAACTTTTCATTTTTTTTTTTATATTTTTAATTATTCTTTAGATGGTGGAGGCGGTGAGAATAGTTTTTTTGAAGAGAAGAATTTTTTAATATTGAATAAAACAGAATGCTATTTGAATTTTAATTATTTTAAAAACGTTTCCTATTTTTTTTCTCATAAAACAAATTCTAAAATCTTCAAATTTGTTTTCATAATTATTTTTGATATTTGCAATTATTGTTTAGATGTCAGGAATGATGAAAAAATTTTTTTAAGGAGAGGGAATTTTTTTTCAATGAATCAACACAGAATTTGATTTGAACTTTAAATATTTCATTTATCTTTAATTCTATAATTACAAGGTTTGCCGAAAATAACCGGCGATCACAACGAGATATATTTTTGTATTTTCCTTAACATTTTACCTTACAACGTTAAACTGAAAAAATGTTTATCCACTCGTATCTTAAAAAAAAATACAGGCAATCGTGATTCAGGAGTGAAGTGGTGAAACGTAAAAAAATCGGTATTACTATTTTTGTGATTATCTTGTTAACGACAGGATTTAGAGCAAAATACGTTCAGACGTTTTTTGTAGCCCATGAAATTCTCTATAAAAATGTTTCTCAACATTTTTCTCTACAACGACTCGTTAACGAGATAATTCCACCTTTAAGCACAGGTTTGGGTAGAATTTTTCTGTTTCGCTACGTTTTACCACTTCAACTTCCCCAAACTCAAAATGAAATGAACAAAAAAATGTGAAAGAAAATGATTCATCATCCATACGCATTTAAATACCTCCTATGCTACAATTAAACGCAATACCTAGGATTTGTCAACGTTTATTGATGCGCCAGAACGTTTTTCCGAGAGGAATGGAAAATGATCCGTCTTTAATCATCAATAATTCAAGATTGGCTGAGTAAAATTCGAAATTTTTTTTTTCATTTTTTCTTTATTTTTTCAGGTTTCAAAATGAGACCCGACTCGTTCCAATCGCACCATTAGTTCAGGAGATATTGATGATTTATGAAGGTTCATTTTACCTCATCTTTCCCCAATTGAAAAACAAAATCAGAAATAGAAGATTCTCTCTGTTAATTACATCGATCATCGGAAATAGTCACCATCGGTGAATCATTAATTCGATGTTTATCGACAGACGTGTACTCAAAACGCCTGACTAACAGCTCACAAATGTTAATAAACAGAGGAATAAAAAAAATTCTCTCGTGTTTTTACACTTCTGTGGAAAAATTAACGGAAAAATTCAACGTTTGTTACATCAATGCCATCGATGGACAATGTTGGTTCACTATGCACTAAAACATGCACAGTTTATACCTGTGGGGGAGTGGTAGAAGGGCACAAGTCCAGAAATTCAGTTCAATTTCCATTCAAAGTTTAAAGTTTAGAGTTTATCTTGTGAATATTTTTGGAAACTCTGGGATTTAGATTAGAATTCCGGCGAATTTTTTGTGGGACATTGAATTTCATACGAAAAATTGCCCCTCGACATTTCTTGTGAACCAATTTCACTCTCAATTTCGTCAAATTGAATTTATCTCTCTTCCCATTTTTTTTTATTTTGTTAAATGGAGAATTATCTCAGAAGTGAGGGGAGTGAGGGAAAAATATCGTAAGACCTTTTTTGTAGGAAATTAAATTACACAAAAAAAGTGAAGACAATTTTTTCCTGTAACTCCACCCGTTCTCCAGATAATCACGAATTTGACGAACAAGTTTTCCTTTTTTTCGTTTTGTTAAATCAGAAATTATTTTAGGAAGAAATTGGCTCAGACAAAAAAAAACAAAAGACATTTTTTAAGACATTGAATTCTTCTAAGAAGATGTCTCACTCATTCCCCAGCTAATCACTAATTAAATGAACCGAATTTTCTTCATTTCAGGCTTTTTAATTCAGTTGAATTGTCAATTACCCCTGGAATGAAACAAAAAATCCCCCAAAATTCACAGAATAAACCGAAACAGAGTTTAGACTCACTTTCTGCAATCACTCCCCCACTGAAATGTGTAAAGCTACTCCACAAAACCCTCCAGTCTCCCACACATTCCATAAATTCCAATAAATTCGAGTGTTTCAGCAATCATTCCCCCCAATAATCCTCTTATTTAACTGTTCAAATCGTCCTAAATACTCAAAGGTAATTGAATTATCCCCCAAAATCGAGGAAAAATGACTCAAAAATCCTCCCCGTCGTTTTTCCTCATTACAATGAACTCCTATAAAAAAAAATGAGAATGAATTTTCATAATTTACATGCATCCATCAACTACTACGACTGAGATTGACATTTTTCGCTGAGATCTGTTACCCATTCCCCAATCCGTTTTCCCCGAATATCTCGCGACCCAGTGGAGGCACAAAAATTTTCGTAGAACATTTTTTGCAGCCCTGAATCTCCCCCAGAAAAAAGTTCCCCGCTGAGACCCCCCTACCACCAACGGATTGCGAGATATCCGCGAAAAACTAAACTCACTTTTTCATCTCCTCTCATTTCGCTCTCATCCCCTCAACATCTCTAAAAATAAAAATTAAACTGAGCATAATCATAACCACGAGCACAATCATCTCCACTGCCTCAAGGACACTCGAAAATCCCCCAAGAATTCCCCCAGACCCCCGGAATTCCTCCTCCAAAAAAAAAACTAAAAAAAAACTAAGAGAACCCTTCCCATAATTTGTGGAATTCCTCGGAAACGAGTGCCACAAAACCCTCAATATCTCGCGTCGCACCGATGCGATTTCCAAAAATCACCGCTCCTTCGAATCCCGTCAAAAAAACCTTCAAACTGAAAAAAAAAATTTGCAATTCGACTCAGCCAATCCCGCGATATTCCCAACGCAAGATTCGTCTTCTTCAACTCAAGTGCAAAAACCCAAAACTCTCCTTTTTCTCTTCCCTCTCCTCTCCCCCCCTCCAAATTCGTATACAATGTCCTCGTCCTCTCCCTCGTCGTCCCCCTCGTCCTCACCACCTCCCACAATTAAAAAAAATGTTCCTCTCCCCCCCCAATTACCAATGCCTCCCCTAGGTTTATTTGTCTCCCACGAAAAAAAATGCACAGACCCACGATTCACACCAACTCAGGATCATAAACCTCGGGTAGTGGCTCGTCCTCGGAGTCGTAGTAGTAGTCTTTCCTCCTGTAGACCCTGTGTATGCCCTGCAGGTGGTCCTCCTCGCCCTCAGAGTCGTCGAGCGCCTCGATATTAGTTTTCTGTAATTTTTTCACTGCCTCACTGATGAGCCTCCCCTGCTCCAGCAATTCCCTGAGCTTCTCGTAGGGATCGTCCTCGGCTTTGTCCTTGCTCTTTTGTAATCTGTAGCCTGCCTCGAACCTCCTCATTTTCACCCTCGAGGGAGCCAGGTAAGGGGCCACCCTGCACCGCTGGCTCACTGAGGATTTTGCTTTCAGCGACGAGAGACGAAGATTCTCCTTTATTTGCGAAACTAGGAGGTCAACGTCATGTGTCAGGAAGTCCTGGGGCGGCTCGGGTATCACTTTGAGGTATGTCGGCTCCTCGGCACTCGGCATTTTGTATTTTTAGGAAATTATTGGGAAAAAAGTTTTTCTTTAGTTTTGAAAATCCAGAGCTTTTCGAGTTTTCTCTGGCTTCTTCCAACTTCCTTCGGTTTTTTTATTCAGCCTTGAGTGTCCTGATGATCCTCTCTATCAACTTGTTGCTTATCAACTTTTTAAAATGCAAAAAGTTAATTTTTGGTTTTTTGCAATTTTTGAATTTTTCGGATTTTTGTAACTTTTTTTTAATGTTTATTTTTGGTTTAATGTTCTCGTATGGTTCTTCAACTTTTAATTCACAAACTTTTGAAAATGCACAAATGCTAATTTTTTGTTTTGGATTTTTCTTCTCCAATTTTTTTTTAATTCAACATTTTCAACTTGTTTATTTATTCTTCAGTGCCCTCGGTTATCATTAAGTTATCGTTAATTAACATTTGAAAATGAAAAAAAAACATCAATTATTCCAATTGTCGAGCTGTGAATTCCCTTCGAGGCCCTTAACTTTCCATTTTCTGCTGCTTAAGCACTCCTTCAAACAATTGTTCACAAATATTTGATACACGTGACGCTCCACGACGTAATCACAAACACGTATGAATCACTGTCCCGCGTGATAAGAAAAAAAAACAATTAAAAAAAACAATTGTCCCTATTCACAGTGACTTTGTGTTTTCTCAATTAAAAAATGAATGAGTCCCGATGAAATTGGTAATTGCACTTCTCGTTGCAGTGTTTATGCCTCGTTGCGTCTGCGAAAAAAAACAACAAACTCCCTCGAAATATGTTTATTATGACGCGTGGTTATCCGTGCGTCAATGAATGGGAGTTAAAGGCCTCCACACGCGCCTCGTGAACAGAGAGGAGTGGACTGAAGTGAGAGAGAGGTATTGGGATTTTTTAACGGCTCTCCCAGAGACCGTCGGCTCCCACGGAATGTCCCGAAGACACAAAAACACTGGCTCAGCCTGTGGAATTTCGTCAGACGATGAAATTACTTGGATGGTTTCTCCCGTTTATCACCAACAATTTCTTATTTTCACTTCAGAATTATTATTCGACACTTCAACATGTGATTTATCGGTTGCAGAGAACAATTACGATTTTATTTATATATTTTTTTCAATTTTGAAGACTTTTTTTTGCCTTAAAAACAAGAAAATCCAACAATAAGCTTCCAGTTGTTGTTGTTGGTGATGTCTTCCACTGTTTATACTGTTGTTTATGATGTTGAGAGGCTCCTGGAGGCCCTCGCAATTGCAAATGTTGAAGATTTATATTTTTATCAATTTTTTGTGAACAATTGCAACAACTTCGCACTGTCCATCAACTCCAACTCATGTTTTTTATTGTTTATATTATTGTTAAGGTTCTTAAACAACTTGGAGAGGTCCTCAAACTCCCAAAGGTTCAATAACGAAATTTATTTATATTTTTTAATCCTTTTTTGTCCTTCGAAAACACGAAAATTCCACTCACTCACCAACAACTCCTGCAATTTCTCTGTTTATCAGCACCACCTGATGTTTTTTAATTTTTGTAGTATTGTTTATGTCCTTGAACGCCTTCCAGAGGTCCTCAACCTTCCAAATGCTCAATAATATTATTTCGTCAATTTTTTTCTCTTCTATTATTGTCCGTTTAGGCTCCAGAACCACAGAAAAACAACTTCTCAATTCGTCAACTCCAATTTTTATACCATTCTTCACACCGACTAGTTCTCACCTCATCAAAACCGTTATTGTTTGTTGTTTTCCCCTGTGGTCAGCACTTCCGACACAAACACACAGGCACAGAGCCACTACTACACCTTCACCAACAACTTTACTCCGTAAAAATTAAACAAACCGGGTTCATCACAACGAGTCTCTGTTGTTCACAGCCCGAGACGATTTTAGGAGGCGTTTTTTCACTCATAAATTGTCGAATGGATGGTGAAATTGTCGAGGGTTCGGTGGACGATGCCTTGGCGTCGAGAAAACTCGTCCCAGTCAGTCGGTGGATGGCTTTACTCTGGGCCACGCCAGCCATGAACCTTTCTACTCTGTTATTATTGTTTTGGTACGGCTTGCGCAGGCGCATGGCGACAGGCCCGCATTGTAAACAAACCGTTAACTCGATGAAAATTACGACGAGTTGAAGGTGATCGATAAATGTTCAGCGTCAACTCAAGGATTTGGCCAATTTTTTTCTCCCAATTTTGAGGAATTTTCGGGCTTCCTCCGGATTTGGAGGGATTCGGGCGCCAATGACCACAAAATGGCGGATTTTCCGGTGGGTTTTTTCCTACGGAGAGGTTCTAGCCCCAAAGGAGGCGTCATTTGAGGTACTGACCTGATGAATTTAATGGGTAACCTCAAAATGCAAAAAATAGAGGGAGAGGTAGGGCAAACAGGTCGATTTCTGGACGATTCCAACTTGCATTGAATATTCCACAAATAAAGTGAAAATTGTATTGATTATTTCACCTCTAATAGGGGCGCCTTGGGTAAAATGGACACTTTAGACTTTTGTTTTAATTACTCATAACTCAGAAACAAATTTATCAATTCAGCTTAGTTTAGGCTCATCACAAAGGGAGAGAATTGTTCTTTGCAGTGGATGAAAAATTATTAAATTTTATCAACATTTCAGCCCGTCGTGTCCATTTTACCCCAACCTCCCCTATCACTTGTGTATAATCATGTGATCAGTTATTTTCTTCTATTGATCAACATTTAATATATAAAAAAAATACGACCCAGTCGTCCAGAAATTGGGGGTTTCGACTACATTCAACTATTTCTCAATTTAATTATTCTTTGTTTTGTTATTTTCACTTTAGACAATTTTTTTCTGCTAATTAAAATATTCTTGAAGGTATGGAAGCCATCATATCCCCATTTGGGTGATTCTTTTAATTTTTTTTAAATGTTTATGACGTGTTGAATTGTTCATGAAATGGAATAGGGAAGGGTGGGGTAAAATGGACACTGGACTTTTTTAAAATTATTCATAACTCAGAAAAAATTTATCAATTGAGCTCAGGTTATGCTCGTCACAAAGGGAAGGAATTGTTCCTTATATTGAAAAAAAAATCATTACATTTCATCAACATTTCAAGCCCTCATTAATATTTTTCAAAAATTCAAAAGTGTCCGTTTTACCCCATCCTCCCCTACATGTCACCCTTAAGAGAATCATCAACAAATGCATACGTGCACGCGAAATCATTGCATTCTGGATGGGATCAAACGAAATCTTGAGCGAACGAGATTGAGGGGGGCGTCCAACGCCGACGATGATAAAATGAACTTTGCTTGTTGAATCGTCAATATCTCCTGACCTGACGACACGATTGGAGTGAGTCAGGTCTCATTTTGAGGACTGAAGCAATATCTTTGAAATGAAAAAAAAATTGCTGAATTTCACTCTACCGATCTGCCATTATTGATGATTGAAAAAGGTTCATTTATCGTCCACCTCCACAGCTTCAATTTTTTTTCATTTTTCCGAAGGAAATGAGCGAGTTGACGGCTGCTTTTATCGGCAGTAAAGAAAATACCTAAAATGTACGTAATACTGGGTTCATGGGATAAATGAACATTGAACATCTCGATGAATAAAGAGAGGTGGAGGCATGGAGGAATGGAAATTCTTCCGCTGGACTCTTTATTGTCGCTCTGTTCTCTCTGTTTCGGTCGACTCCGCTTGGCAATATCGTGGGAAGGAAAATAGCGCCGATGGTGGGGC